TAGTTGGCGGTGGGTGGTGATGACTAGCTGCCTTCCCTCTAGTCTTACACTGCTAAATTAGGGACGGCTAGCGCAGATAGCCCTCGTGTAGCTTTGCGCGAAATTCAAAACAAACAAACTTAAATAATGAACTTCTTATCTCATTTAGGACATATAGAGTATTCTCAGCTGTATACTTTGCTCTATAAGTCCAGCTAATTCCTGTTTCATGATATTTAATTAGCCCTTTGTTGTTCCATCCTTGAGTTAGTGTCTCCTTATTAACGTATTAAAAGCTGTTGATTCCGCATTTTCTGCTGTAATGGACAGGTTTCCTAGGTCTATAACAGTTCAATCTTTCTAGTATTTGCTAAAAGGAGTTCTTATTCCATATTTACTTTCATCTATAGTTCCTCGCAACATGTCTTTCAAATATGTATAAGTAATCCTTGTTCTAGATATAATGAAAAGTCTCTTGATTATTACATCATCATTACAGCCAACAGCTCCCTCCACCAAAACAAATTTCAACGTGAAAAATATACCGCTTATTACAGTATGTTGTAACCTAAGTTAAACTATAACACACACTATGTTAGCTATCGTGGATTCACACCAAATCAAATGTCAAATTATATTTAAGAGCTATGATATTCTACACCGAAATGCACGCGAGGGCGTCAAATTATCGCAGTTTCAGGCTCGTAATGCTTATTTGAACTTGTTTCCTAGACTAAGAACATATTGTCGCTCAAAACATTTAGACTAAATTCTCTCTTTTTTTAAGCCTGAGGGGTACAAGTATTACACCCCTCTGTTCCTTCTCCTATGAATATGATTTTTCATACATATGTATTACAGTGAGGAACCTTGCAGCATAATGTTACTGTAAACATTAAACTATGTTGATATTAAAAAAATAAGGAGAAATAAAGTTCTAAATTGTTACGTCTCCGTTTGTTAATTAACTTTCCGTAACTTCGTTCCGACGAAACTTTAGCGACACAAGTCCTTACTTAATAAAACTGGTTTATTCTTTCCGAATACAACTCTAAATATTGTTGCGTCATCGAGATCACGTGACTATTCTCACGCCATCTACTTTCTAGAACTATCCTGTACTTTGGCAAAAGCTCTAGCATTTACTAGATATAGGGTAGTCTGGTATATAAAAGAGGATGACAACGTGATGGTAATGTAATGTGTGTGTAGATAGTGAGTAACTGAACTGCAGTCAGAAGTATTGTTGACGTTCGTTGATATAGCGTTTGTTATAGAGCGATTGTTGAAAATAAGTGTATCGTTTTATCACTTTTATAACTTTATTTATATGACTCTTAACTCCTTAAACATGAGCAGATGCTGCCAGCATCTGGTCAAAATTCCCGATTTGTCCATCCGATGGTGACAGTGTCCAATAACATTTATGTTTCTTTGGCTGAAAACTAATTCACACCATGTTATTATTCATAAAATTAAGAAAACCGAAGTTGTATAAGGTATGGTAATAATTAGTAGGAAATCGTGAAAATAATTCCGGCTGAATGTACAAAAAAATTGAGTTTAAAAGAGTTAAATTTAATACAGTTAAGGTTTAGTAAACATAATGTCATGATATTAAAAACGCATTTAGTAACAAATATGAAAGTAAAGGTACACTTTTGATGGTAATTTTTGATTTTATAAAGTTTTCTTCTCTAAAAATTAAGCTTCATTTCATAATTTTTGTTATGACAATTGAACTTGTATGAATCATTATGTGTTAGAAACAAAATGCATGGAGTTTAAACTCAAAAACTATCTGTAGCTGAACTTGATAATCTTACTTTTTCTTATAAAGTATGGCTAGATTATAATATTTTTCAACTTGTACTCTTTACGTATATGTTTTGTGAATAAATAGAATATGCCAAATTTTTCTTTACTTTTTTGTAGTTTACTTCAGTAATGTTGATACTGTCCTACAATTTCAAATTGGAATCAAATTGTTTTCTTTGTCACAGTTATGGGACATTCGTGATGGAATGTGTAAACAAACCTTCCCAGGACATGAATCAGACATCAATGCCGTTACTGTAAGTTGTATGTTATATTGAGGGACTGATATAAGTATAAGTAATCACATACTAATAAACTTTGTCTCATTGATACGTTTCTGTTGCACTACCCTTTGAGAATGGTATAAAACAAGATTACAGTGCAAAAGCTTAAACAGGTTGGTATCAGCCCTTTGAAACACAGCTTAAAATCTTTCTCTCTCTCTCCTTCTATTTTCTTTTTCAACAGAAAATCTAAAAACATTATTATAGTTTTCTATGGAAAAAGTTGAAATTATTATACTGTTTCTGTTCTATAGATTTTCTATAAAATTTATCTCACAACCATATAAAGCTACCCAGAAAAATGAAATATTTATGTTACTTCAGGCTCATAATATGGGTGAGTAATTATGAAGAAAAAACTAAAGAAGAATGCATCTTTATTTTTATTCTATACAAGTTTTTTTTGGGGCTTCATGCTGCAATATTTTTGAATTTGAGATTTTAAATGGAACAAACTGTCTTGGTAAAGATTCCAGGGAATGTAATGTATGTGATACATAAGTACATGATATAAACACATTATACACATTTTTTTAAAATAGTCATATATCAAATAATATATTAAAATAAATGTCAACAGTTCATATCTGAAAAAGATTTAAAATATAAAGATTAATACTGATAAAAATTGCACACAAAAATAAGACTCATCAAATTATTTATAACAAATAATTCCGTGTAAGGTGAGTACCTGATCTGTTCCATGTTCATGCAAAGTTGGTCCACTTTTCATCTTTGTTATCATTATTGCTCTTTTATATTGTTTTATGGAATTATCTGTTCAAAAATGTAAATTTATTATAGCATGTCCTCATAACATTCCCAGTTATTGTTGGTGATGACCATAATGGTGTTCTTTTGTCCTTATTTTCAATGCATAGAAAATTTTTAAAAAGTTGTATATCTTCTTGTAAGTTTTCTTTTACCCATAAAGTGAAACATTATGTGTTAGTAACTTTGATTTTGGATTTACGTGTGTATTCACAATTGTTGTATATTAGAAACAGATGTATAATACTCCTTCTGAGCCCAAACTCTCCAACTTGAAAACAAATTTCTCAAATTTCATTGTTGAATTAGATTCATACTTGTAAAATGTTTCAATATAAATTTTGGGTTTGAATTAACTTTTTTTTTGTTATGGCTCACAACTTCCTTTGAGCAACCACTCTTATTTTCACATATTTTTTATATTTTTACACAAATGTCATGTGTAAACTTGTATGGCTATCTGAACGATAAGTATTGAAGTTATCAATATGTTCCCACATTGGAATGTTGGGAATACAAGTGCATATACTTTTCAAAATAGCTATGCACATAACATGACAGTTTACAAACAAAAGATTATAGTTTTTCAGCTCAAACTATTCTTGTCCACTTGTGCTAAGTCTCATGTGATTGGTCAAAATTTGAATGTGCATGTCCAAATCGATCAATCAAGTGAGACCATTGCATTACTATAACAGGCACCAAGTGGTTTTTGTTATTTATTTTCACTGTCTTAGCCATAGGCTTACAAGTAACAACATAAATATTTTTAGTGACTAAATACACAATAGTATACAATGAATAAAGACATTTCATTCCCTCTTGTCCTGCATGGTAACAAAAGTTCCTGTTATTCTTCCATGTAGGAACACTGAAGCTTATGACAGTTTTTTCCTACACAAATTAGCTTAATATAAAGGTTTTGCACATCAATAGAAAGAACATTAAATGTATTTTATAACTAATTCATAACATTTTCTAAATGTGTTTTGCTTTGAACTTATTTAATGATGTCATTAGCAAGTTGGTGAGCTTAACTGTTTTACTTATTTTCATAGAATAATTTTGACAAAAATCAAGCAATTCTGAGGAAACTATAGGCCATGAAATATTACTCTTATATGCATAAATTATATCAATAACTAATCTCAAAACATGAAAGAGAAGTAACTAGCAGCCAAATTATGTTATGTTCCCACAACAGATTTAATGATATTTAAATCAGGCTTATCTGAAAGTATAAAAGCACATCTTATACCAGAAAATCCATTCTATATCAGTATTACTTATTTTTTTAGTTCATTTATTTTAGTAGATGTATACATCATCTAAAAGTTTTCATTTATTCTTCAGTTTTGTTGATTCTTAATGTGCTAATTTATTGAAAGTGATTGTTATAAAGTTATATTGAGCTATAGCTTTTTACCTCATTTTCTGCCTCTCATTTGGAGCACAGGACTAGTGCCCTTGAAATTGTGTGTAGTATTTTGGAGACTTTATTTCCAAAAAACCCCCAAAATTACCACTGGTGTAATTTTTTCTATATAATTGGATGCCTTAATATTAATGTTTTTGTCATAACCTCTATATAGAGTAAGTCTCAGAAAGCCAAAAACACACTTATCATTATTGTTTTCGAGAAAAAAGTAAAGATTTACAAAACCTCAAAACTGGTAATACTAAAACAACATACTTCACATTTTGATGAAAATCTTGAAAAATATAAATTTGTTAATGTATTATATTGTAATTTTTGAGATAATGTTGAAACTTTCCTTATATAAGTAAAACTAAACAAAGTGTAGGAGGCAGGAGAAAGATTAATGTAAAATAAAAAAATGGATTTTTTTTATGAATTTCATGTCTTAAGTACATATAATTATATTTTAAGCAAAGTACAATGTATTGAAAAGTATCTTTTGTGATGTTACCAAGTATAATAATGCTGTATAGTTGTTATTATTATATCATTTAAATAATACATTTCAATACATTCCTTTCTTTGCTCTGTAAATAAACTGATGACTAAGGTACAATAGTTTTTTCCTGTTAAAATGCAAAAACAAAAGTATAAATTCTACAGGTCATACAGAGTCCTGCAATGTAATTGTTATTATTCAATGATTATTTGGGATTCTTTTGGTGAAATCTTTTGAACATGATACTTTTAAATTCTTTCATAAATATCCTTTAATTGTTTTGGAGTGAGTAATATGAAAAAAAACACAGTATTACTGTTTCTATTTTAGTTCTTTCCCAATGGTTATGCTTTTGCCACGGGATCTGATGATGCTACATGCCGATTGTTTGATATTCGTGCAGATCAGGAGTTAGCCATGTATTCTCATGATAACATCATCTGTGGCATTACCTCTGTGGCCTTCTCCAAAAGTGGCAGACTTCTTATGGCAGGTTATGATGACTTCAACTGTAATGTGTGGGATTCAATGAAAGCAGAACGTGCAGGTGTGTCAGCAATGTTCAAAGTTTTAAATTCATTTGTTTTAATTCATGTAGTCATCTGAAGCCATCCCTATAGCCTTCAGTTTTGTCTCTCTCTGATATATTACTAAGTTCTTTCATGTTTGCATGTTTCTTTGAGACCATATATAAAAATGTTCTTTGAAACTCGTTATATATATGATACTGCTTAAAGAGTTGTTTTTCAAGATTAGCTTTAAGGATCTTGTATGCACTAAAGATAGTTGCATTTCTTTTTTTGAACTGAAACTTATTACAGTAAGTTTGTTATATTCTAAGAAAGTATGTTCGCAAATTAAGGTATATTTTTTTTAGAAAACTGTAAAGAAAAGTAAAACTCTGTCATTTCAACAACATTTATCTGTAGCGTTTTTATAGTTGCTTATAAAAGCAAAGATAATAAGAAGTAAATAATATGTACTACAATACATATAGTGTACAAAGAACATTGTATGTTTAGTGGTTGTTCACTTTCATCCAAATATAAGATTTCATTGTTGGAGTTCATCTGGTGACATGTCACTCCAAGGTTACACGGAGCATGTCCACTTTCATACAGATCAAAGGTTACTTTGTTGGAGTTCATCTAGTGACATGTTAAAAAAATAAATATGTGCAGTGTAGTTAGTTTCTGAAATTAGATGGCAATTTTGTTGTATTTATACTCATATTGCTGTACATTTTTTAACAGATTTTGAAGAATTGATGACTAATGACTATTGCCTAAGCTTTGTGATTGTTGAAATGTGTATATTAGTGAGTTGTATGTGAAAATCAGTTTTTGTTTTATTGAACTTTATAAATTAATTATAATTTATATTTTAATGTACAATTAAGCAAACATTATAATACTTCATTATTTTTTCAATTCTTTAAAAATGAATTAATCAAAGTGTATTTTTATTAAAGTGTCAAGTGTATTTTTCATCAAGAAACTATTTTATTCAGTTACTGCAAATATATCTCTTAAGTTTTAGATAGATCTCCATGGAAAAGTACTGAACAATGTAATTGAGTCCTTAAATTTATACAGTCAAATCTAAACTGTAATTATTTTCATTTTAAACTTATCTTCAGAAAACAGAGAGGATGTCACTGTTCTTTATTTCTTATCTTATCAGGTGTCCTAGCTGGACATGACAACCGGGTAAGCTGTCTGGGTGTAACTGAAGATGGTATGGCAATAGCTACTGGGTCGTGGGACAGTTTTCTGAAGATATGGAACTAAAGATTCTGTCCCACATTACTATACCACACTCCAAAAGCATAAACAGTACTCTTCTAGATTGCTAACTGCAGCACAAACTCATTATAAAATGGGATTAACAAGTGTGAATGAAAAACAAATTTTTTGTTTGTTTATTTTTTTTCTATTTTTTTTTTAGTTTTTATTAAATGTGCTGACAGGGAAACCATTTTACATGACTGGTAGTCTTGAGTCAGTTTGGTATCATTGGTGGACAAAAATATCTTTTGTCATTTAATTTTTTTCTACAATGTAGATTGTACACCAAGAAAATAATATAGCCAAACAAATTTTTAGTGATCTTCTATAAGTTACTTTTGCAGACATTTTTGTTCTGCTCTAGTCGATTAAATAAATACTACCTGAAGGCGATGCAAAATTTTTAAGCACAGCAGGGCAACCACACACAAAGTTCAAACATGCATAGTATTTATGGTGATGAGCTATCATTCATTAAGCTGTCTTGTTTGAGCTACTAAAAGTTGAAGAGTAAACTTCAGCGTTGTATCATTATGCTGTCATGTAAGTTGTCTGTGCCATATTCTAATACTCCCTCTTGCTTGCATTGAGCCCCTGCAGGTAAGGGAAATCCAAGGTGCTGCATTTTGTACTTTGTGCTGATGACTGAATGGTTCTCAAAGAGTATCAAGATAGAAATATTTCTGAAGAGGAAGAAGATACATAAACAGATTGTGACTGCTGTTTTATGATTCACCCATCTTGTAGTCCTCTTTCAAAGTGATAGTTCCCCAACTTTTCCACATTCATTGTAAATATTTATACAAATGTAAGTTTTTGTAGTTGTTTGTGTGGATAGAATATCCCTAATATGAGAAAAATATGTTTTGTTGAATAATAGTTATTAGAAACTTTCCAGACAAATATATGGAAAAAAAAACTAGCTAACTTGTGGTATCTTTTGGGACCATCAAATTGTTGATTAGACATTACCCAAATCCGTTTGTACTAGAACTCTGTTAGATTAACATTAATGTAGTTTTTTTTTGTTTTCCTCTTAATTTGTATCGTAATCATTATAGTTTATTAGTTGTAGACTACAGAAAGTCATGAATTTTTCATTAGTAACCAATGCAAATATAAATGTTAAAATATAAGTTAATATACTGTTTTGTGTGTATTATATTTCACAGCTATTTGAATAATGATCTTTAAATAATTGATGATTATTAAAATAGAAATATTTAGAAAATTAATTAAACAGCTTGTTTTTATATTAATAACTTGAAGGGGTCATATTTTAGAGTGAGTAGGCCAGAATTACTTTTGCATTCAATAACCAATTGCTTGGAACTATGTCTCTAACACTGATTAGCAAACTAAGTAGGTAAGGAAAAAAAGTAGTTGTGCCTGATTAATACAAGCTGTAGATGTGTGTATAATGTACACTTAAATACTCTTTGGTGTATTGAAGACAAACAAGACATTTGCAAAGATCCTCTTGCCTTTCAAATTTATGTAGAAATGCTACATAATTTTGTTGAGTGTGTGACATATTATGATCTGAAATCAATGCTAGCTCAAACAAGAACCCTGTTTGAACAAGCCACTATCCAAAGCTGTAATTATATGTTTTATAATTGTAGTTTTACTCTTTGTGAGTTTTTGTTGGTTTCTTAGGTTTATATGAATGTCATTTCATAAGTTATAAAAAAAAAAGGAAGGGGAGAGAAATAGATTACTTGTAGTTTTATGATGTTGTACTACATCATTTCTTTTCGTGACTTGTCTCATATACATTGCCAAGTATGAAAGAGTCAATTATTTAGGTTAATTTCAAAACATTAACTATAAGAACTTGTATGATCAACAGTATCAAATTCTTTTATTGTTTTTTTGTTACTGTTAAAGAAAAATTAATTGTAACATTTTCATCACAAGAGATGTTCAGTTTATTATAATGTAGCTCATCAATCAAAGAGTTTAAAATTCATTTGAAGATTAATGAAAATGAAAGCATAGAATCAGGACATTTGAAGAATAAACTTATTGTTATTGAAACTGTCTGTACCAGTATTAATGGAAGGTATTGTGAGTTAGTGCAAAAAAAATCTTTCTTTGATTGAGACTGTTTTGATTAAAGCAATGTGCTTTACTTCCTGAATACCTTTCAACCCATACCTTTCCAGGTAGCATTGTTATTAGTCTTAATAATGTGGCAGTCAGTTTTGTTTGTGGACTTCCTTTAAGTATGTAATTGATCTTGACTAATAAAGGTATTTATCTGGATATGCATTCTTGTGACTGTTTATGTCGAGTTTCAGCTTGTTAGTTTTTGTGCATGCTTTTCTTGGTAGTTTATTGAAATCATGCATAAAACTTTTTTGTAATACACTTTTATTTAAAGTTTATGGAAACTAAATCATTACCTTTCAAAATGCACACACACTTCAATTTCTTACTCAAGAAACATGACAAACTTTTTTTTTCAACACACATTGAATCACAACTAACAACCTTAAAATTCCAAAACATATTTTATCCTTTTTTTTTTCACCTTGATGAGGATTTTGTTTGGGGCTCATGTAACAATTCATAGTTTTACATGAGACCTTGTTAAAGCTATTATGGCAAATTAGTGAGTTTCTGATTTTAGTTTTAATGGGTACTACACTCCAGTTTAGTCTACAAGTTCTAAAATATAATAGAAATCAATTGCTATTTTCTGTTATTCTGTTAAAACTGCACAGTGTTAAACTTAATACGTATTTGAAAGGTAGTTCACAGAAGCTAGAACATTGTGCCACTTACACATTTTGCAACAGATAATTATTCAGACACTATGGTTTTGTTAACATTCTTGTCACTCTTTAGTTCTTTAACCTTAAAATATTGTGTTAGTTTATCACATATGTTTTTAGCTAGCAAAACAAAAGCAAAACGTAAGTATTTTATCACCCATGTTGTGTTTATCCATTGTATTGGAGATTACCTATGATATAAGTACATTTCTGTATTATATATTTCACTGGTAGGTCATCAGTAAGTTTAAAAACTTAAAACACTAAATTCCAGGGTTTGACTTCTCATGGTGGGCAGATAGCCCAATGTGTAGGTTTGCACTAAAATAAAAAACATTTATAGTAAAATAAGTAAAAATCTCCTGATATGTCAGTTATCGGTTTATTTTGGATCTTGGAACGTTCTTCAAATGTTTGGTGAAAGGGGAGGTCCTAATAAAGTGGTCAGCCATTGCAGATCATTGTTCTTGGAAATTAGTTTCCTTAAGAATCGTAAAATAGACTACTGCAGTAAAATATCCAGAAGTGAATATTCCGAGTTCAGAAAAATGTTATCAACAAGACACCTTTCTATTGTAGATAAAGTGGATGAACAAAGTTACAGAGCATAAAGTATTATCAGGATGTCATATGACTATCTGACAAAATCAGTCTTAAGTGAGCACAACTACAGCATTGGTCATATCATCTACACAATATTGAAAAATAAAGAAACTTAAAAAAGTCCTCTTTATCAACTCTCTCTCCATCCACCCTGATTTCAATCAAATGTATACGCCTTTCCTTTTTAAAAGACATAATAGGCACTACAAGAATACTTTTGTACAAAAATCACCATAATAATTCTGAACATCCTATGAATTCTTTACAACAAAGCTTTCTATACTTTCCTCTTTACCCATAGTGGCACAGCAGTATGTTTGTGGACTTACAACACTAGAAACCGGGTTTCGATACCCGGGGTGAGCAGAACATAGATAACCCATTGTGTAGCTTTGTGCTTAATTACAAACAAACAAACTTTCCTCTTTGTTTCAATTTACCTTTTCTTTCAATTAGTCGGTTTGCTAATCCCTAAAAATGGAGCAATTCATAAAAGTTTATAATCATTTTTTGTTGAAATGAGTCCTTCAACATGTTTTGTTCAAGATTCGTGACAGTCAACATGGTAGAGCATTTTGGCTACACTCAAATAAATTTTGTGTGCTAGATGGATATAAAAAAAGATGCATATTTAGTCCAATAATGTAACTGTTCTTGAAAGTCTTACCAGGAAGATTAAAACTAATCATAAAGTTATGATGTAAAAGCAACCTGAATATGGACCATAATCACTGTAAGACACACCTTTATTAATGCTTCAATATGACAAAAAAAAATCATCTAGCTACTTCAGTAAATGTTCTAAGTTTGGTCCACTTATTGCAGAAGAAGAAAAATCATTGCATCCAACATTTTATGGAAAGACACCCTTTATATAAAACTAGAAGAAAGATTAGAAACCAAACTGACAATAAAATTTCACAATATATGCATCGTATGCTCCAACCCCCCACCACCCCCCAGTGGCTCTGTGGTAAATCTGAAAACTTATAACACTAAAACCCAAGTTTCAATTCTCATGGAGGGCACAGCACAGATAGCCCATTTGTAGCTATGTGGTTTATCAATAAACAACTAAATATGCATTTTAGTTACACATTCAACAACAATTCAAATGTACTCGATGTCGAGAACCTCAAAGACAATCTCAATACTCAGCCATTGACTATACAGCATGAAGTGTCTGATTTGTGATGATAAGTGCTTGCCAAAAAACTCCAATCAGACACAGACCTATTGTTAATAGCTGAGATGTATAGGTAAAGTCTATACTAAAGTCTGTAATTAAAAAGTAAATTATCTTCAATTAATATTACAAGTGAGACCTTGCCGCTCAGACTTCTCTTCCTCGTTGTTGTTGTTTTTTTTGTGCTTTGCTTTTGTATTTCCTGCTGTGACCTTTTCTTATTAGAAAAACCCTTTATTCAAGTCCTAACTTGAAATGTTATCTAACTTGCCTAATCAGAATTTTCGATTCCATTTTAACAAACCAAAAGAATTACATTGCAATTGCAACTTTTCTTACAGTTGGGAGAGCCCCCTCAGTGGCTCATCTGAGAGATGTAGAGAGTGTGACACACCGACAAAACTGCTTCATAAGTATAAATATTATAATATCTTAGCAAGTGTTGTCTAGTATATACTTCGATACACCTAACTAAATATTCTACATATTAAAATTCGCATTTCCACTAAAAAAGTGCAGTTTGATGCTTTTATTCTACTGTCTTGGTATTATAAGTAAATGTTTCCACAAAAAAACAAGATTTTAACATATAAAAGATGCTCAACATTTTACTGAGCATACACCCATCAGAATCTTGATTACTACACGAAGGAGAAGGCATTACAGCAAAAATATTGTATACACACTTTTATGTTTTTCTTAGTCTGTAACCAGATTAAATTGTCATTCTACACCTTACACAGCCCATATGAATGAAGGTCCTACAATATGTTGAACCTAAATCTAGTCCAATAAGCCTTCTCAAAATGAAAAAGGCAGTAGAATTATGCTTGTTCTTAAGAAAGGTTTCCCAGATTGACGTTACAGTCAAATCAGATGATCTACAATAGAATATTTTCTGTAAAAACCACACTGGATGTTGAAGAGGAGGTTGTTTTATTACAGAAACCACATAAAACGACCATTAACCATCCTATCAAAAACTTTACATAGACAGATAGACTAAGCAAAATGTCTATAATTAGAAAGAATCTTGGGATCCTTTCTGAGTTTAATAAAATGAATGATAATAACCAAATGCCATAACTCAGGACACTTCTTCCCGCCAAAAAGAACCAGAATATGACAAAGAGATGGTGTAGAATCCCGTAATGAATATCATCTGGTCAGACGAATGTGTTGCTACAATAATATAAAGCAATTTATCTTCCACCAAAATAAACGGTCAATTATAGTCATGTAAACAATTGATCGAAAAAGAAAGTGAGGTTCTTTTCAGCCTTGGTTTTGATAGCCAAGAAGACAGGGAAGCAGGTGGAGTTGCTCGAATGGTGAAAGAAACACTCTTCAAGGGTGTTAGCAATATTCTCTAAATCAGTAAGTTCTTCGCCACTGGGTTGCAATACTGAAAGGAAATTTGATGCACACCCTACATTTTCCATTCGAACCTTGTAACTGGTGGTGTAAGAGATGCTGGATGTGAATTGTATCCAAGATTTTTGCCTGTTTTGATGTATGACAAGCCTTCTGAAAGGCTAGACAGTTGGATAAAGATGGATATCTGTGAAGATAAGCAAGCCTTCTGTGTCTGTTTATAGACAGGATCCCTTGGGAAATGTATCCTTGTTTTTAGGATTGTAATGACAGTTTCCTGTACAATACAATCAATTAATGCCTCCACACATTAACAGATGCTAGGTGAACAGTGGCAGGATCAAACTCTGCAAGACTGGACAGAGAGGGCCAGTTGACCTCCTCCAGCTTCCATGTTGGTAAATGATTCGGATGACAATGACTACAGCATGTTTCCCCTTCAAATGATGGGAAAATTATCACTTCTTTGTGGATAATTTTCCGTTTCCCAAGAAAAAGATATACACCTGGAAAAAAGTTAAGCACCCCCAAATATTTTTCAGGATTGCTTATTGAAAATAAGGTTTAATTTTCATGATGTTGAGCAATGTTCATAATTTCAAACATAAT